TTCCAAGCCATGAGGATCATTCACCCTCTGCTGGTGTGCCCCATTTGTGCAGGAGATTTCTCACAGCATAAAGAAACTTGCAGTTTTGTTCAGCAAGATCTCTACTCCAAGCTGTCCAGGAGAAGTGGGAGAACCACTTCCCCAGGGATGGCTGCAGAAGGCTTCTGACCAAAGCAGTTCACTGCTACATTCAGGGACTTCATAAAAGTACCTGGATCCATTGCAGGAAGAGGATGACTAATTTCCTGTGCTCTAGAGGGGTATGTGACACCATCCACTCACTGCAAGCTGACACTTGTTAGGGGCATCACTCAGTCTGCCCATGTCAGTGCACAGATATGTCAGATTAGATGTGAATTAAAGCTGTGACAGCTGCCATATGCTGTTAATATTCTACCACTTTCCAAGCGCTTGTTCATCAGGTACTGTGGAGTGCTCAGATCCTGGTTTAGCTGTGAATGTTCATTAAGTGTTCTATCACCCTTTGCAGTGGGTGAACTCAACCCCTTCTTTTCTCAGAAGAATGCCCTTGAGAGGAGGAAGTGCTTCATTACTAGTGGAGGATGCCAGTTATTCACATCTTCACCCCTTTTGACAAGGAGGTCACAAAGCTGGCAGAGGATGGCTGTGGCAATATATGTGCTGATGGGGAGATTGGACCTGTGCAGAAAGCTCATGAAGATACCTCCAACCTACTGTTGTCAGTTGTGCAGACAGTGAGAAATTGGTTAGACAAGGAGGCATGCATGGGCAGCAGCTAATTTCAGCTTTTTCCCATTCCAGGAACTAACAGCTGTAATACCAAAAAAAAAGCAGTCTTTTCCCCATCATCCACCTCTTCCTGAGCCTCCGGCTGAAGCACCAGCACCATCGCCTCTGAGGATGAACCTTCGGAAACCTCAGAGGATGAACAACTCCTCCAGTACAGAGACACTGTCCTCAGTGGAGATAGGTTTGAGATTAGGCTTGGAGTTACAGGCTGTCGACCAAGACACGATGCAGGTCCACAGACAGCGGAAGACACAATACAGAGATCTCTGACACTTAACAGTCTGCTGGAGACCAGATTTCTGCACTCTCCCATGCTACACCTCTGGATTCAGTCAAAGGAGACACATTGGAGATGCAGAGGCAAGGAGGGAAACATCAGTCAGTGATGTCAGAGGCCCTCATTAAACTCGAATACAGGCTGGAGACTCTGAAAAAGTTCTATTCGCTGTCATGGTTTCTGCATGTGAGGACTTGGCTGCCTCCGTAGAGCTGCTGTGGAGACTCATGTATAAGAAAGTGCTTTATCGAGCATGATTGAGGATTGAATCATTGAATGACTGACATCTCTAGGCAATGCAAAAGAATTAATTCAAAATTTTGTTAACAAAATGAAAATTGAATAAAAATAGTGACTAAAAGCAGATGTGCAAAGAGACTAACTTGAGCCACCTACTAATGGCTTTAGTTGCATGCTGAAATCCTTGAAAATAAGAATTTTCAAGCTTTATTAAATATTTTGGTGACTGTGGTGATGCTGTGGCAATCATCATGTGGAAAAAGCTCCCATGTGTAATGCTTTATAAAGAGAGTAATCAATGAACTATTTTCCTTGTTTGTTATTAATAATAAAATAGAATTTAAGAAATTACAGACTAGCTCTGTAAATTGTCATAGTCTCTGAATAACTGGAATCACTGATCAATTATACTAAGTGCGGATTAAAAATTTGATTGTGAGTGCGGTTATTTGAAGCCAGGCATGTAGCTGTAAAAAACAGTCTGAAGTACAGCAAAATTCGATCTTTCAATGAAAAATAATGTGCTGCAGCTCATTCAGAAGGGAAACAAAGTCTCCGGTCTGAGGCCAGGCAGAAGGGGTGACACAAAAGAAAACTTTGGGAACTGTGGGGTGGCCAGGATTATGACTGGGAAAGTGGGAAGAGGATAGAATGATGACTAAGTAAGCAAGTAGGAGATTCAGGACAAGGAATCTGTTGGGAGAGGTTGTGCCCAGGCACTTTAAATGAAAATGTTTTGCAAGTGAGTTTAGCTGTAAGCATTGCATTGGGCGACACAATGGCACAGTGGTTAGCACTGCTGTCTCACAGCACCAGAGGCCCAGGTTCAATCCCAGCTTTGGGTGACTGTGTGTGTGTGGAGTTTGCATGTTTTCCCCATGTCTACATGGGTTTCTGCCAGATGCTCTGGTTCCCTGCCACAGTCCAAAGACGTGCAGGTTAGGTGGATTAGACATGATAAATTGCCCTGTAGTGTCCAGGGAAATGCAGGCTAGATGGATTAGCCATGTGGATAGGGTGGAGGGATGATCCTGGGTAGGATACCGTTCAGTGGTTTGGTGCAGACTGGATGGACCAAATGTCCTATAGCTGCACTGGAAGGATTCTATGAAAACAACATGATGGAGACAGAATTGAAAGGAAGAATCCAGAACCTGATTATACATTCTCACATATCACCCATAAACTATAATGACACCCTTACAGTTAGCTCTCTATAGTCAAGACTTCATTTCCTTTTGGGTGTTTCACTGATAAATGCTGATACAATACCATCACCAAAAGCTATCACAGTGGGAAGTTGGACACCTGCAGGCAAATGCTGGGAGTGCCTTCCATGTTTGTCTGCAGAGGCTCAATTTATCTCAGTGCAAACTATTTATGTGGTCAAGAAAATGTTCACCTTACTTGAGTTACTTGTGTAACTACAAAATACACAAGTCTCCTTGATACTTGATATTCATCCCTGAAGTTATTTATTTGAGCAAATCTCTAAGACTGAACTGGCAATAACCCCGAATTTTCACTTGTGAGTATACTGCTCAAGCACACCTGTTCTGAACATTGCAGTCAGATTTTCAGATGGAGCAAAAAACAATCATTTTGACATTATGTTTTAAAAGATTATCTTCATTGAGACTTGCTTCATACTTCATTTTACTATTTTCAAGCATTTTGAAGGAATATGTGTAAGTTCCATAAAAAATGAAAATGTTTCCTTGATTACAGGTTCTTAAATAATCCACTATCAGGGCTAAATTAGTTGCCACTTGACTTTTCATGAGAAATATATGACACAGGAGTTTTAGAATCAGGATCTCAGAGCCAGGATTGAATCCAGATCCCATAACATCTGTCAGGAATGGTCATGCAATATGATGTTCTAAGGCCCTCAATGGTCAGAGGGATGGACAATAAGAAATCCTCCACAAGGGAGGGAAGTTTGCTGAAGCATGTGTGCTCAAAAACAGCACCTCAATGTGGAATTTGTAAATGTTTCAAAACCAAAAGACTGCAGCTGCCAGACCAACATTGTAAAATGGGAAATCATTCTGATGTGTCAGCAGCAGCCATAGTTATGGATATCCTTCTGCACAGGCAGTTAGGTGGGATTGGGTGAGGTGTGGGTTTATGGTGGGGAAGAGGAGCTACAATTATTGCTCCCCTTGCTTTTGAACTGCAAAGCCATTTCTTTTAACTGGCTGTGTTTCAGGCATGACGGCAGGTCTCGCTAGTTGATATGGGAGAGGGATCTTAAAAGATCAAGCTTCCTTTGACAGTACCTTTGAAAGCCACATCCCTTTGGAGAGAAGAACAAAGGTAGCAGATGAATGGGGACAGCAAGATGTCTGCCTTCTTCAAGACATTTCTGGCCATTCCAAAGTGAATTCCACAATGAAAAATGGAGAGCCAGTGCAAATTTTGCTAAACGTTGATCATAATTCATAGTGGAGGCAAAATATCTACAGTTGCCTTCATAACAGGTTTAAATTATTCTATTCTCACATCAAAGGAAGGCTTAAAAACAATGGGAAGACAAGGGATGATCAGAGAGTATCCATTAATTTTCATATCCAGAAACAGGTTTAAAGTTGGAAGTAAGCAAAAACAAAGTTGCTGGAAAAGCTCAGTAGGTCTAGCAGCATCAGTGAAAGTTAACGTTTCGGGTCCGGTGACCCTTCCTCAGAACTTTGTCTTTGTTCCTGATTTACAGCATCCACAGTTCTTTCGGTTTTTATTAAAGTTGGAAGTAATTGTTTTAGAATTCTAAATGAAACATCCTGGGTATGATAAATTGCTACGGAAATGGGTTATGTAGGGACATAAACTTTGTTTTGAGTTTGTCAGTGCCTTTTCTCACAGAAACCATGAGCTGGTTTGGGAGCAGCTTTATGAATGCAGTTTATGTATGAAGCTGGAAAAACAGGAAACAGGAACAATGAGAGAATTTGCCAAAATCTGTAGGGAGCTTTGAACCAGAAGCAAAGAGCTATCAAGGATATTTTTGTATTGGAGTCTCTATGAACTGCGGAATCCACAGTTGTTTGGTGCTAATGAAGAGTTGGAGAGTTGTCAAGATGTATATGAATGGAAAGACCCCAAGAAATCTCATACCTCAAAGAATAGTAGAAATACTGAGATGAATTAAAATTATGCCTGGCTCATTTTGGTTTTGTCCCAGGATCCCTCAAGATTTTGTAACCCTCAATGTTCTGATACAGAAGAACTCTTGATTGGAAGTAAAACTGGAACAGGAAGTGTGGTGCTCTGATTTTTGGGTTTAAAGCATGTTTTTAAAATGCATATTGTTAAGTTAGCTGTATGTACTTTATTTAACTTTTGTGATTATTTGCATGGTTTAATTTATTTCAATTCATAAATGGGAGCTGGAATTTCTTTAAAAGTTACTGGTTCCCTTCAAGATCATAACAATTAGGAATTTTCTGTAAGTCAGTCAGTTATTATTTTAAAACAAATAATTATTCATAGTGAGACAACATTAAACAATTTACTCAAAAGTGGAACATCTCCACAACATTTGCAATTTTAATAATAATTAAATTTTATTTAATCAATTTGATTAGTATTTAATAGGCCTTCATTTGTAAATTAAGAAAATACTGTTCGAAGAATATGCATGATAGAACTTAGAAGGGCTATGGTTTACTTTCTTAAATATTAAATGTTTCATTTTTTTTTCTTTCTGTGACAGGAGAACCACTGTCGAAGGATTAAAATACTTGGGGATTGCTATTATTGTGTATCAGGTCTTACTCAGCCAAAAACTGACCATGCTCATTGCTGTGTTGAAATGGGATTAGATATGATTGACACAATCACGTAAGTAATTCAATTTCAAAGAAGAATATTCTTGTTTCAGCCTTAGTCATAATTTTTGAAGGTAGCTAAAATGTACAAGTACTTATATCTAGACTCATAACAACTAATCATGCTTATTAGCGGTTCTCAAAGGTTGATAATGACTTCATAAATATGAATGAATAACAATAACTTGTACAATAGCACAATTTGTTGTCTTGTTAGTACAATAACAGATCTTTAACTGTAGTACAAGAAGACTACAAGAAGAATATGTTACTTTCATGCCGAAGTCACATATGACAAAAATTATTATGCTCTTCCTGACCTAAGCCACGTGATACAGATTTTTTGCACAAGTGGTTAGTCTGATTTAGCAGTCGACTTGTTTGCTTATCAATTACAAAATGACCTTGAATAAGGTCTTGGCCTGGCCCAATTGAAACATTTGCTGGTAGGGAAATAAGACTCAGTAACCTCACATTCAAAGATTAATTAAGTAACCACATAAATGACGAAGTGACGAGGAAGACTGTTACCATGACCTAAGCACTGAAAACACTCATACTAAAACTGATAAAATTAATGTTATGAGATGTTGTTATAAAGGAACAGCACTGTCATAAATTGGTGAATCTCATGGCACTGATCGTGGACTGCCTGTCTTTTCTCCTGTCCTCATTTGTGAGGATTGGGCCATGGACATCCATTGGATTGGCTCATGCAAATGGATTAAATACTGCAGAAGTTTGCCATTGTCTTCTGTAGAATGGCTGACCTGAAGACTGCCCTCTTCTGCCTCTCTGCCATCAGTCATATTTGAATGATTTGCATATTACATTACAGTCTGAAATCAAGCTGTTTGACCATGTTACACCTTCCACAGTCAACAAGTCCTGGCAGGGGACACAAACCTGGATTTTCTGGTCTACTGGTATCGTTATACCACAAGACCTCCTATTGATATTGGTAGATTTACATGGAAAGGAGCATTATACCATCTATATATTAGTCTACTGCTGAAGTGAACCTCCATCTAACTTGGTGTTACCGTTTTGATGTGGAATTGCATGGTATAATGCCGAAGAGGCTGTAGACTGCTGAAATGCAGCAGTAATCATTTCATTCATATTAACTTATGGTTTGCCATCAATTTGAATAATTTTTTATTCAGTCATCATAGATCATGGAATAACAAAATAGAAGCATTTATAATTATGAAAGGGTGAGACAAGGCAGAATGAAGCAAACTCTATATTCACTAAGGGATCAAGAATTATGGGCCTAAAGGTTAGACGATTGAAAGTAAGATTAATTGCAGTTCTGGTCTCCCTGCTGTTGGAAGGATGATATGAAACTTGAAAGGGTTCCGAAAAGATTTACAAGGATGTTGTCAGGATTGGAGGGTTTGAGCTATAAGGAGATGCTGAATAGGCTGAGGCTATTTTAACTGGAGTGTCAGAGGCTGACATGTGACCTTATAGAAGTTTATAAAATCATGAGGGGCATGGATAGGGTGAGTAGCCAAGATCTTTTCCCCAGGCCTACAACTAGAGAGCAGAGGTTTAAGGTGAGAGGAGAAAGATTTAAAAAGTACCTAAGGGGCAACATTTTCACACACAGTGTGGTACGTGTATGGAATAAGCTGCCAGAGGAAGTGGTGGAGGCTGGTACAATTACAACACTGAAAAAGCATCTGGATGGATATATGGATAGAAGGGGTTTAGAAGGATATGGGCCAGCTGGAAAATGAGAGTAGATTAATTGAGGATATCTGGTCGGCACAGATAAGTTGGATGGAAGGATCTGTTTCTGTGCTGTACAGCTCTGTGATTCTAAGAGATTTAAAAGGCAGAATAACTTACTTCATGCAAAGATTTGTCAAATTCACTTCCAGGGTTAATGATTGAGGTAGAAGCCACACTGACATTCAAGTGTAGATTGGGCAGGTGGATGAAGAGAAAGGGGAAAGGGATATAGGAAACACTGGGAGGTATATATAGGAATAGACTTTTGATGATATGACTTATTGTACCAATATGACCTATTTCTGTGCTGTAACATCTCAATGTGTTTCCTACTTGCCCCATTACCCTTAGTGGTCTGTGCTGACTTTTCTTAGTGCCACCTCTTACTATTCCTATTCTGATATGTATTGCTTGCTCCTCGACAGTTCAAATTCTAAATCATACAGCATGAAAAGAGGCCATTTAATCAAAAGCCCACAGTTTAATCTTCAAGGTGGGAATCACGTGTCAGGTTATTTCCAAATGTTGTGATCCTACCTTCTACTTCATAGTGACTGCCCACATTATTTTTGTCATAGGGGAGTGTGGTCAGGTTGGAATTGGAGCTACCACTTTTGGAAGCATACCCAAGACAGAACTAGAGGTGAGCAGATGCTGAGATGGCCTTAGTTTCCTGGGACATTATCTACATTTAGGGGATGAAGTATGAGGCAGAAAAATCTTTACCCTTCCATTACTTTTGCATACCACCATGGCCCTATATCCACTCACCAATCCTATACCTACATGCCCCCTCCATAGCCCCTCATGTCCTTCAGTACTCCCCATGCTCACTGATCTAGTATACATTCTATACAGAACTCTTGAGTGGAATGATAACATTGAGATAAATTTGAGATTTTGGTGAAGCCATCAGTCAAAAAACACTTCATAATTCCATATTCCTATAAATGATCATAGAACTGTTAAGATAAACAGGAAGCCATTCAAAGCCGCTTTAGAACAAATTAAATGTTTATAAAGTGATCAAGATTAAAAAAAATTCATAATTCTCTTGACAACAGTGTCAACAAGCCCTGCTGAAGTCCATTACAGGGGTTTGGAGCTCAGATAAGCATAATACAATTCCATTGCACGTTTATGTAAACAAAACCTTCAGAACTGAATGCATTAAAACCTTTGAAGAAATAAAAGGAGCTCAGCCATCTGTTCAACAGCAGAAGCAGTGCTTCAAAGATCTAAGGCATCTGTTCAAGCTTTAAAGCAGCAAAACATATATCTAAACTGTTAGTTCTTCTTTATAAAAAGGATTAAATCACAGCAAACGATTGACATAGTCAAATCTGGATTTCACTATGTTCACTATGTACTTAATCCATTTGGTAACCTGCTCTAATACATTGAACACTTTCTTTCACAGCGCTGATCATTGTAACTGTTCCTTAACTTTTAAATAGAAAATCATATTATCAATTTCTGCGTTAAAATCATACTGAATTTACTGCACAACATTTTAGTATGGCATATCGATAACACCTTCTGGACCTGCTTGTCTACAAGTTTTCAAGTCCAGACTTTGGCTCATCCATGGTTCATAACTCCTCTGAGCTGCAAGTAACCATGTCTCATTCAGAAGCTGGCATACCTCCATCAAAATTGTTGGAGTTTTAAAATCACAGAATCACAAACTGATTATGTTGTAAAAGGAGGCCATTTGCCATGTTGTGTCTGCATCAGTTCTCTGGACATGTTGATCGAATGCCACTCTCGTACCTTTTCCCTATAACCCTAAACACTGTTACTACTAAAATAATCATCGATTGCCCTCTTGACTGCTTCAGTTGAACATGCCTCCACCACACTCCCAAACAATGTGTTCCAGACCCCAACTAATTGCTTCGTGAGTAAGCTTTTACCTACCTCACATTTGCCTGTTTAAGCATCGGAGGTGCCAAGGTTGGAAATGCTACATGAAGGCTCACGACCTACACCCTTATCTAACATTGTTAAAAATTGCTGGTGATGGGAAAAGGGGTGGGAATTGTAGAAACAGGTGTCATCTTAAAACCTACTTGCCTTAATTCTTATATGGATGAAAGCATGAAGATAAGGCCCAAAATGTGTGTGTGCTGGCTTCTTTGAATTAGCTATATAATTAATATGACTTTCTTGCTCTTTCCCTATAGCCATGCAATTTTGTTTCCTCTTTACTATTACATCACTTTCTTTTTCTCCAAAGAATTTATACATTTATTTCCAACTCCCATTCACGCAGTGGATTCCAGATCATAACTCAGTACAAAAAATAAAATGTTCTACTGCTCTCCTCTCTGGTTCTTTTTGTCATTTACCTTAAATTCATATTCTTTCCAGTGCTCCTGCCATTAGAAACAAGTTCTTCCTACTTGTTCGACCAAACTCCTTCATAATTTTGATATTGTCAATCAAATCTTCCCTTATCACTAGACACAATGGAAATCCTCCCATTCTAGGGACTTGACAAATCACCTCTTCACTAAGCTGTTGACACCCCAGCTAAAATAGTGCTCAGAATTAGATGTAATACTTCACCTGGAAGATTGGGAGGATGGGTGTTGGGGTGTGAGGGCAATGGGCAGGTTGGCACTGACGCCTCTGCCTCTATTTATAAAGAAGCATCGTGTGTATATCTTAACAGCTTTATTAGGCTGTCCCACTTCAAATACTTTAAAATCTGGCTATGAATAGTTAAAGTGCCACCTCCACGTGGCATCAAGTTCACGCATGCGCAAAAGAATGCCGATTTTGGAAGTCACAGGAATTTTTATAGTGACTGCAATAAGAGAAAGATTTTTGATGGGATAACAGCAGTTTTTATTGCCCTACGATTATTTTTGCCAAGTTATTTGGGTAGTGTCCTGGAAATTAATTCCTGATAACATGTAGAAGACTAATGACTCGAAAGTTTAGCAGAAAGCAACAGAGCAGATGCTACTTACTGAGGCTCTAGAGTGACTTAGAGAACTGAGCAAGGACAAGAACAAGCATATAATGGGAATAGAATAGGCATCATGTAGGACCAACCGCACTGTCACTAGAGACCTGTGCCAGAATGAATCAGTATGAGGGGCCAGAAGGGAGTGCAACAGGAGTTGGCCAAGACAGTACGGAGGGTCTTGATTGCTTTTAAAAGCTAATGACCATGAGATAAAGGTGAGGTAGTCTGCACATGTGAAGGTGTTGACATCACTGCACCTGCAACAAGGTGACATCAGCAGCACATGCAATCCTGAA